CACGGGCTAGGCAGACTTCTAAAGAGTTACCAAACACTGCAATACTCGTACAGATTGTTACTCCCAAACTTGCAGAACTTCTAGCACACGTGTCTTGGAGTGAAAGATGAATTTTCAGTGTGTGCACACCTGGGTTACCAACTCACGTAGGACTGCACACTCGTCGTTATTCCTGAGGTTGGTAAAGCGATGAGTTGTGAGCATTTTGAGAGGCACGAGTAGCAGTGGACTAGCAAAATTCGCCTCTACACTGTATGTTGATAGAGGCGAAAGGCTGAGGTCAAATGAAAGGCAGAGGGGAAGCAGAGGCCTGTGAGGGCCTTTGCAAAAAGGAAAACTATTTCCAGTGTTTGACTAGGTATATCCTTAGTCACAGCTCGCACATAAGAGTTCTCACAACACTGAAGCTGTCTTCCAACAGTAGGAGTTTTAATGATGACTTATCAGTCGGGAGAAATGGGTAGACCTGTGAATTAGTAGGTCCAGATCCCCAGCACACGTCTACTCCCCTCAACCACTCAGCCGAGACTATATTACTAAGCAAGAGGATATTACCCATCCTGGGAACTGGTGTTACTTGATGCCAGCAGGTCCCTCTCTTGCCTCACCTCCTTAGTTCCATTACTACTACTACTACTACTACTACTACTACCACCTCTACCCACGCGTCACCTCACCTGACTCTTGCCACTATATATATAAATGTTTTCTTAGTTTTCTCTGTATTAGGACTGAAGAAGCCACTCGTGGCGAAACGTTTCCTTTAATAAATGTCCTGAATTGTACATAAGTGTCTTTTTCCACATCTTGTCGGTATCACCATACCATTTCCTCACTCCACAGGGCATTTGATGAACTGGGATGAGGCACAATTCGTTCTCACCTAACCAGACCTCAAGACGCCGACGTTGTCTAGAAGCCTCGCTAATCACCGTCATCGACAATAGAACGTAACACTGGAAACCACATTAGCATACATTACCACAATAAAATGTCTCATTAGTTGCACTTATATCCTTTTACTTTACATATTGCCGGTAATTCTACCAACATTTTTACACCGGTTGTCTATGTTTATCCGTCAGTAAAATGGGTACCTGGATGTTAGTCGACTGGTGTGGGTCGCACCCTGGGGCACTGACCTAATTTGTCCGAAATGCTCAGTATAACAAGCGGCTTTCTGTATAGTAGTATATCATCAATGTCAACTAGGCTTGTATACCATGTACATGTACTTGTAGTAAATAAATAAATTATTGTTACTATTAAGGCTCATTTTTTTTGGATCAAGATCCTCTCAGTGACAGAACGGAAGTTGATGAGACACGTGTGCAATATTTGGGTATCATTATTCTGGAAACGTTTCGCCTCCTCATCTTCCACCTTCCTCTACCGTGGACTGAAGAAGCCACTGGCTGGCGAAACGTTTCCAGAATAAAGATATCTGAATGTTACACAAGTGTCCCATTTATCAATTTGTCGTTTTGTTCAACCATTTATTTAGAGGGGAAGACCTCGCTCTAAATAATATACGACTAACACTCGCGTCGGGAAACACTTGTCCTGTTTCCTGACGAATCTTACCTAACCTAACCTCAGCGACATTAATTGAATAAACATTGGTTGTGGAGGTAGCACAAGCCAACACCTCCACTCAGAGCACACCAAAACACGGAGCAAAACAACACTACCTTTAAATACATTACAATTTTATGTGCAGTTTAGCCATTTATTTTACTGTAAAAGCAAGTTAGCTGCACAGTGTAAGTATATATGATTATTTATATTATTTATATACTTTTCAGTTTTTCTCCTTTTTCCGTATACGCTAAAAGCAAGAGTCCGGAGAATGTCAGTTGTGTCAAAAATATTCGGACAATATGCTTTTATGCTTAAACATAATTTAACATATATATATGCATATATACATATGTTTTGGAATAGATAAATTATAAAACGTTAAATGTACTGGGAACAGGTATAAGTGTGGGTAGTAAGTGTTGTAGAGAGTGATATAGAGTGTGTTTAGTAATAGTTTAATGAGTGTTAGTGTGAGGTAGTGAGTGATGGTGGCGCCGTGCTGGTTCTGCCGTCCACCCCGTACCACCACTCAGACTCCATTTTGAAAGACAAGAGGAGCTCACGCATTCCATCTTCGGTAAGTTTTGTCTACTTTATTTCTACCACGGCATCTTCAGCCTACCCTGGCGCGTGCATCAGTATGTTGTGAGGTATTCGCATCATGTTGGGAACTAATTTCTCTTTTGAAGCGGGTTGTAGGACGAGACAGGGAGATACTGGATTTTCCCGCGTGAGTTGATCTAAGAGCGCGTGAGAAATGTTTTGTGACACTAGCGTAAAAATAACACGATGGTGGTGGGTGGTAGTGAGCATGAATGTATGTGTGGTGAGGGCGGGCGTGGGCGTAGTAGTAAGTGTGGAGCAACATAGTAGTGAAGGAACTGTGGTGGAGGTGGTTGGTGATCGATCGGCGGGTGTCCCCACCTCAGCCTCTTGTGCTTTGTTCCTGCACCCGGCTCCTGGCCCGCTCCCCGCGCTCCTGCCATATATAACACGTTTCGGCCTTGTATTTTAAAGAGGGCGGATGTTTCGGCCTTGCAGAAATAGCTGGCGTCAATGCCTGACCTAACTTAACCGCACCTGGGTAAATAGTTAGGGGCAAATGTGCATTGATCGATAATTCCAGTGTTAAGTGTTAGCTTCGTTGTGTCATGGTATACTGTTATTTATGTGCAAATTGTAAAAAAAAAAAAGTGAACGTGATCCATCTTACAGTAACCTAAAGTAACTAAACCGTAATTCCTTCAACGGGAGATGTGGGACTGGCGTGTCTGTTTACCTTCACATGCGTCTTTGTTTACGTTCATATGCGTCTTTGTTTATGTTCATATGCGTCTTTACGTTCATATGCGTCTTTGTTTACGTTCATATGCGTCTTTACGTTCATATGCGTCTTTGTTTACGTTCATATGTCTTTGTTTACATTCATATGCATCTTTGTTTACATTCATGTATCCTTGTTTACATTCATATGCATCTTTGTTTACATTCATGTATCCTTGTTTACATTAATATGCATCTTTGTTTACATTCATGTGTCCTTGTTTACATTCATATGCATCTTTGTTTACATTCAATACATCTTTGTTTACACTGGATGCATCATTGTTTACATCAAGGTATCTATATGCTGCTGTTATAGGCGAACAAGACTCCTTTTTATAATACCTTTGATTGTCTCTGAAGCAGCATTGAATCTACAATAAAAGTATTGGCTTGAAATATAAGCCATACTTTTAAAATTGCACCATTTGTTCATCAGCTGCCATTCTTATTGTGCATACAATTGTAGTTAATTGCATAAGAAATCTTTCTTAATATATAGTCTAATATCTTAAGTGGTCTTTAAGCATTAGGATCAGCTTGCCAGAAATGCCTAGTATGCTAGTGGATTTTTTCTGTGTAACCATGTTTTATTACATGTAAACTACATTATTTTTTATATTGCTTGAAAAGAAATAAAATTTGAATTTTAATTCTCTCAAAATAACACTATGCATCAGCAGTAATGCAGTAACTATTGATGGAAAGAAATCGTATAGAATACTGACACGATGGATTATGATAAAACTGCAGTATCATGTTTTGCCCACACACTGGGCATCATCAAGTCAAACAGACCTGCAGTTTCTCTCTAGGTAGATTTGTTTGTGATTTGCTGTTATCCAATTACAGTTGGTGGGGTATGGACAGATTGTGTGTGCAGTATTCAAAAAAAATACAGGCTGAGTTCAGACCAGCCCCCTAAACTAAATACAGAAATATGTATTAGATGAAATAACCAGCATACATGCCTAACCTAATACAATGTAGCCTAACAATATAAGCAAATCTGACCTAATAATTGTCACATAAACAAGCTAAACCAAACTTAACCTAACCCAACCCAAACGTGACTTGACTTAACCTTACCTGACTTACCTAATTGTCATGGGACTATGACTCGACACCGTCCCTTCATGCATAATGGGGATTACTAACAGATTCCTTGATGTCTTCAAGTGGGAATGTGACAGATTCCTCAAATCAGGTTCTGATCAGCTGAGCTGTGGGGCATATGTTGCACTGTGGGTAGCAGGCACCAGGAGCCGACTGGATCAGGCCAGCAACCAGGAGGCCTGGTCTGGGACTTGGCTGTGAGGGCAATGACCTTCAGTAGTGGCTACGGGTAACCTAACCTACCCTAATGTTATAACTTGACTTTATTTAATCTAATCTTGACATAAATTCACCTAGTAACCTTAACTAGCCTAACCTTTCTTTGCCTTGTCTAACTCAACTAACCCTGACCTAGCTTAATCAGACCTAACCTAACCTGACTTCACCTAATAATCTAATCTGGCCAATAGTGTACAACTACTACTCAGTGGAACTTGGGCATTAGATAAATACATGAGTGGATGTGGGTGGGTGTGAGTTGGACCTGATTAGCTTGTGCTACTAGGTCAGTTGCCATGTTCCTTAGCCCCTTGACTGTTGCAATCCCCAATCCTGAGGTGTCTCCTGGTGTCGCAAAATTTAAAAAGAAAAAAAAAATTTCTTATGAAATGATAGAGAAACTTTTCCCGATTGTAATGACACCAAAAAAAAAAAATGATGGAAAACTGATGGAATTATGCTCTCGCGAAGTTAGCAACCTCGGCGATATTTACAAATCAGCGATTTCGCCCACTTTGGGCCCTATTTTCGGCTAATTCCATTGTTCCAGTCGACCAAACTCATAGCTATTTCTTTAGAACTCCATTTTTTCTATCGATGAGTACAAGAAACTGCCCATTAACTGATTTCAACTACCCAATAATGTGGTCAGAAATTTGCAATTTGGGCAATTTCACGAAAGTTAAAAAATATGACAATTTCAAAATAAGGTCCAGAATGAACAATGCAGACATTCCTGACTCTAAAATAACATTTTCTTTGTTCGTCGGTCACGTCTCCAGGCCCCTCTGATATTACTCTTGCTTTCTATTTTGAATTTTTATTCAAACAAAAAATAGAAGATTTACTGTTATGCAGACTACTGCAATATTGTAATAATTGTATAAATAATGTCACCCCATTAATGACTCCATATTAGAATGGCTACTTGGACATTTATTGGACAATGACATCATTTGTTTACTTTTGAACATCGGCAAAAATCAAACATTTCCCCTACTTTGAGCTCCATTTCAAGGTTCTTTTCTTAGTAAAACCAATCATAATCACCACTCTTTCTATAACATGTTTTCCATTCTATTAAATGAGACCAGGAAAATAGGAATACAGCCATAAATACTACATGAAAATAGTCCACAAAGTCGGCATTTTAATTAAAAAAACGGTTGGAGTTTTTTTTTCTCATGCTCTGCGTGCTGCAGGATTTTTTTTATATGGTGCACACTGACTACACAGACCCATTCTCTCACATGTGGGCCTACCAGCTTTCTCCTGCTTGATTTGAAGCCGCTAGAATTTTTTTTTAACCCTTTGAGGGTTTTGGCCGTACTAGTACGGCTTACGACCCAGGGTTTTTGACGTACTAGTACACCTAAATTCTAGCGCCCTCAAATCTAGTGGGAGAAAGCTGGTAGGCCTACATATGAAAGAATGGGTCTATGTGGTCAGTGTGCACAGTATAAAAAAAATCCTGCAGCACACAGTGCATAATGAGAAAAAAAACTGACAGTTTTTTGGGAATAAAACAGCGACTTTGCACTGTATTTTCGTATGGTATTTATTGTTGTATTCTAGTTTTCTTGGTCTCATTTTATAGAATGGAAGCCATATTACAGAAATTGAGATGATTTTGACTGGTTTTACAATGAAAAGTACCTTGAAATTGAGCTCAAAGTAGCAGAAATGTTTGATTTTTACCAAAGTTCAAAAGTAAACAAATCATGCCAAGCTTCCAATGCACGTCAACTGGTGAGTCTAATATTCTTTCGCAAGTGCGCCAATATTATTTATACTATTTTTTACACTAATGCAGTAGTCTGCATAACAGTAAATCTTCTATTTTTTGTGAGAATAAAAATTCAAAGTGGAAAGCAAAAGAATGTAAGAGGGGCCTTGAGACGTGACTAATGAACAGAGGAAATGTCATTTTAGTGCCAGTAATGTCTTTCTTGTTTATTCTGGACCCTATTCAGAAATTGGCATCTTTTGAAATTTGTGTGAAATTGGCAAAATTGCTAAATTCTGACCACTGTACTGGATAGTTGAAATTGGTAAATGGGTGGTTTCTTGCACTCATTCGATAGAAAAAATGGAGTTCTAGCGAAGTCTTCATGTTTTTTGTCGACTGGTACAGTGGAATTGGCCGAAAATGGGGCTCAAAGTGGGCAAAATTGCTGATGCGTAAACATCGCCGAGACCGCTAACTTCGCGAGAGCATAATTCCGTAAGTTTTCCATCAAATTTCATACTTTTGGTGTCATTATGATCGGGAAAAGATTCTCTTATCTTTTCATAAGGAATTTTTTTTTTTAATTTGGCCGACCCTGAGAACGAGTCTCGGAGAGGGCCTGTTAACCCTCAAAGGGTTAACAAGTCGGCCGTCTCCCACCGAGGCAGGGTGACCCAAAAAGAAAGAAAATTCCCAAAAAGAAAATACTTTCATTATCATTCAACTCTTTCACCTCACTCACACATAATCACTGTTTTTGCAGAGGTGCCCAGAATGCAACAGTTTAGAAGTATATACGTATAAAGATACACAATATACCCCTCCAAACTGCCAATATCCTGAACCTCTCCTTTAGAGTGCAGGCATTGTACTTCCCTTTTCCAGGACTCGAGTCCGGCTATATAAAAATAACCGGTTTCCCAGAATCCCTTCACTAAATATTACCCTGCTCACACTCCAACAGATTGTCAGGTCCCAAATTCCATTCGTCTCCATTCACTCCTATCGAACACGCTCACGCCCCTCGCCCACAAAACCTCCCTTACCCCTTCCTTCCAACCTTTTTGAGGACGACCCCTACCCCGCCTTCCTTCCCTTACAGATTTAAATGCTCTCCATGTCATTCTACTTTGATCCATTCTCTCTAAATGACCAAACCACCTCAACAATCCCTCTTCAGCCCTCTGACT